ATGCACGGCCCCACGCACCGCGGCCCTGCGCCACCACTGTACTACGTACCGCGCTACCGGACGCCAAGTCGTCATTTCCTCTCGTTTCCTCCGAGAAAACGGCGATGAGTCCACCACCCAGCCCATGCAGCGCGTCAGAGCCATGCCCCCTTCCCGCGCGAGCACCCTGCACGCCGCTCGGTCATCATCAACACCTGATCCGCGGCGTCGCAATGCGCATAGCTCCGCGGCGGCGTGGCGGCGTGGCCACTCAAATTTAAATACTTGAATCGTTATTCAGCGCGCGCCCGCCTCCCCGCCACGATCGCCAACATCATCACAACATCATCTCCGCACGCCACGCCGCGCCGCGCCGCGCCGCCGTGTTGTGTTCCTGGTTGCGCTCCACTTCCACGCGATCGCCCACAACGACCAGCAGAGAGACACCCAAGTCCCGCGGCATATTAGCCAGGAATTCAAACAACAAGATGAATTACGGCGCGGTGGTGGTGGAGGCGGCGGCGGCGGCGGGGGTCTGCTTGGCCTGCAAACGAAACGGCGCGAATGCCGTCCGTGATGAGACGACGTCGTGTTGCTTCCTGGCACCGCGCGGCACCACGGGGCATGCCGGCACCACGCTGGCACCCAGCCGGCCAGCACCACACAACAGTCCAGCATGCAGTTTCCAAGGTCAATGGGGACGGGCCCGGCTCGCAGCGGCCGCTGTTGCGTGTGTGTGTGTGTGTGTGTGTGTGCGCCCTGCCCCGCCCTGCACCCCCGAGGCGCACCCTCACCAAACATTGCGGTCGGTCGGTCTGCCACCTGCCTGCCCCGCCCCGTTCCGCCCCGCCTGGGCTGCGTCTTCTGTCTCAGGGGTGGCACAGTGCGTTTGCTCATGGCGCGGCGACTCTCCCCGTGCTGGCCATTTTCTGACAACACACGCTGCAGGGCTAGGCACTGGGCTAGGCCGCGCTGTTTGGAAAGGCAGGCGCAAGTGACTGATTCCGAGGGTCCTTTTCGTCGCCCTGTCTCTCTCGCACTCATGGCGCGTCCCCCATGGAAAGAGACAGAGCGATGGAAAGGACTCTCGGAATCAGTGGTGCTGGACGGCGCGCCTGGCCGCCTGCCATGCCTGGCACCTTGCAACGCCTCGCAACGCCGTGCAGGAGGCGATGCACCTCTTGCATCCGAACAAGGCAGTCGAAGGATGAGTGGCGCCCCGCCCCGCCCCGCCCCGCCCCGCCCGCATCGTCACGCCCATCCTGCGAGGACAGGCTGAGGACAGCACAGCAACTAGGAAATGGCAAAACACGGGTCCGGCCGCCGGCGTTATCAATAGACCCTGACGAGTGACGACGACGCCGTCCTGGAGAGACATCCTGCAGCTTCGTGGAAAGTCGGGCACGCCTGGCCGGCGGCCGCGCCCCGCACCGGCTCGTGCTGGCCGTGCTGGCCGTGACAGGGCTCCCGTCTTCATCGGATAGCCGGCCGACGAGCCGCCGATAAGAGATCTGCAAAGTGATTCCCTTTCCGGTGGACTAGTCCACGACCCACAACAACAAGGCCGAGGAGTTGACTTTTGGGCAGGATGTGGTGGCGTGGTACCGCAGGGGGCGAGGCGGGGAGATAATGCCAGGGTCGTTCACATCCGAGATGACCGATTCGGGGCTTCGGGACGAGGGGCCGGGCCGCTTGTCCGCACTGCACTTCCCCGACGGCGACATCGGCCGCGCCGCCGCGTCGGCGTGCGAGAAGTGCAGCTGGTTGCGGCTAATGCGGCCGTACCGAAGGACTGGCGACTCATTCCGAGAGTCCTTTTCGTCGCTCCGTCTCTCTCGCACTCATGGCGCATCCCGTATTGGTGCGAGAGAGACGGAGCGACGAAAACGACTCTCGGAATCAGTCTGCTGGGGGAGGCGCGGGCGGCAGGGGGCGAGCCGCGCGCCGGTCATGCACGGCCGCGGGACGCACGGACGGGGCGAGCATCGAGCAGGGCGGGGCAGGGTGGGGCAGGGCGGGGCAGGGCGGGGCAGGGCGGGGCAGGGCGGGTCTGGCTGCGTGTGCGTGCGTCGCGCGGCACTTTCGTATGCGTGTGCGTGCGTGTTGGCAGGGCTGCGCCGCGCTGCGCCGCGCGCTGTGTCCAGCCGGCCGGGCTGCACGGCGTGCCGCGTGCCGCGCGCCGCGTGGCCGGTGCGTGCCGCGGAGGGCGGAGGGCCGGCCGGCCCGGGACGCCGTAATGGCCGAGGACTTCCGTTCGCAAACGCCGTGCCGTGCCGTGCCGTGCCGCGCCGTACGAGCGAGTGGACGGTATCCTGTAACTCGGGGGCCGAGACGAGACCGACGACGCGCTGCTTTGCGCTGCCGCAGCCATGGCGGCGGCCCTCGCGGTGCACGCAGCGAAAGTCCTCCGGCCTCATCACGCGTCCTGCGTCGAGCCTGCGTCGAGCCAGCGTCCAGCTCGGCGGCGTGTGTCAACGAGAAGGGGAATGCAGACGTGCTAAAAATCGGGCCCGCTGTGCGCGGCGCGCGGCTGTGCGAACCGAGGGATGTGTGGACGCGGACAGCCGCTCGGCTGCACCACGGCTACACGGCCTACACGGCCATTGGCGGGCATTCGCCAACGAAAAAGAGAAGAGACGCCGTGTTTTCTCGGTACAGAATCGCCACTGTGAGGTCTAGCGGAAAAACCGGTATGCGAGGAAATGGGAGGGGAGGGGAGGGGAGGGTGGCGCTTGGGGACGGCCGCCGCGGCGGCCGCCCCGTCCCTTGTCCACCCCACCAGCCTGTGGGTCTGGAGGGTCTGCAGGGCCGCCACCGGGGTTTGAAAACCGCGCCCGCCAGTCCGCCACGCCGCGGCGCGGGCGTACTGCAGAGTAGAGCTAGCTTAGAGTGGAGGAGGAGGACGAGAATGCATCTTGCAATCGGAATGCGCCGTTTCCTTTGGCAGTGCAGTGGCAGTGCAGTGCGGGGTGGGCTCGGCGGGCTGCACAGCGCAACGCGTCCGCCGCCCAGCTGCCGGCGCCGCACGCGCTGCAAGCGCGCTCTGTCGCCGGGTGGCGGAAGCGCACAAACCTCCCAAACCGCCGTCCGGCCGCGCCACCGTCTGCGGCGTCGCCGCGCGGACCTAGAGTCTCCCGAGCGCGGGGTATCGCTTGAGGGCGCCGGCCGGGTAGGCAACTTGTTGTGCGCCCGTGTGCGCCGGCTGCGTGCCACCACGGCGCTTTGGGCGTTCCCTCTCTGTCTGTCTCTCTCTCATCGCACGAAGCCCGAAACGGTTCAGGGCCCCGCCCGTCACGAAGCCAGCGTGACTCAGAGGGGGCCCAAGTCACGTAGAGTGGATGCGTGCACAGACCCACGGACAGCGGGGCAGGGCGCCACGAACCCCAAACATCCTGCAGGATTTTACGTGACCCGAGACAGGCAGGCTTCTGAGTAACCAACGTGGATGCATCTTCATTGACAAGCCAGAATCGTTGCACAATACGCCCACAAAAACAGTGGCTGAGATAAAGCTCCTAAGAAAGGTATCCAGGACTCAGAAGACGAGGCGCTAATTGCGCAGCGACCTCCGTCCCTCCTGAAAAAGGCTATCTCGGGACCTGAAATGACGTGACGGCGTGTGACGAGGTAACTCACGTTGCTTTTCAGGTGCAGCCACGTGACTCGTCCACAGAGCAACCCCCACTCCTGCCCCCATTGCCCCCCACTCCTCTCCGTGTGACGGCATGACTCACGTTGCTTTTCAGGTGCAGCCACGTGACTCGGCCAAAGAGCACCCCCTACTCCTGCCCCTATCGCCCCCACTCCTCTCCATGTGACGGCCTGTGACGGGATGACTCACGCAGTTTTCAGATAGTCTGCGAACACGTGACTGGTCCAAAGAGCAACCCCCCACTCCTCTCCATGTGACGGGATGATTCACGTTGTTTTTCAGGGGCAGCCACGTGACTCGTCCAAACGGCACCCCCCACCCCTACTCACCTCCACCACCGGTTCCGACCAGTTCCATCCAGTCTGCACAGGTTCAAACGCGTTCAGACCGGGCGATTCCGGTCATTTTCCCGTCAGCCCACGACAGCAAGTTGCGCCCGGGATCGCAACGCTTTGTTCGGGAGGTCCTTTTGGCTTGGCAGCTCGCTCGAACGACTATGAACAAGGCCACAGTCGCGTAGCCAAGTTCTGCTGACGGATAAAAACAAAAACAAACCTGAACTTTACAGACTTATCTTTTTCTGGAAAACCAAATTGATTTTGAGAGGGCGCGATGTCCTGAGGCTAGTAACTTACCATGTAGCTAAGCTAAGGGAAGGGCTACAACGGCATCACTGCTGAGAAGGCTGGATTTGCATATGTAGCTGAATCTCAGCCTATTTAGCTTGACCTATTTACCCTAGCATATTTAGCTGACCCTATAAAACTTGCTCTCAACAGCGAAGCCTACGTATGCATATATGAACATAGATTTATTAATAATATAGAACCACACCTCTAGTAAACTGAAGGTGGACATTTCGAACGTTCAAAATCCCCAACAGGGTGCTTCTCTTCGCTCAGCAAAGATCTGATCGTTTCAACCGATTTCAACCTAGTAGTGATTATAAAATCTATGAAACCTTTCCTGAAATGCGTCTGGATAGTTTGACTTTTTAGAAGTAAAAATTGTTCACGATTGGAATACTTTCATTCATCTATCGCGTTATGGTGCCTTTGTTTTTTTTTTGTTTTCTGGGATAAAGGCTGGCAGCTGCGGCGCGCACCAACGCGACCAAAACACTCGGTGGACCGCCAGACCGCGAGCGCGCGTCCCAGCGCATCCGGCCGAGTGACGAATGACGTCACTGTGTGACTGTGACGCAGGCGGCGTGACGGGCTGAGGCTGAGTCACATCCTCGTCACTTTCGGGGAGATTGCGCAATCGGCAGGCCGAAGAACCCGAAAGCGGGGCCGAAGCGAACCGAGCGCGGCCGAGCGCGGCCCCCTCCCGCCTCCTCCCCCGCCCCCTCCACCTCAGCGCGCGGTACTGCACGCCTGCCAGGCTTTTCAGCTACCCGCGGACCAGCAGCGCCAGCATTCTGGCACTCCGCACCGCCGGCGTCAGACCGACTCTCCACTCGCCGCCCCACATCACCGACGCCAGCAGCCACGATCCCTGCTCCACTTCTCTGCAACAGGTGAGCGTACTGTCAGTGCAGTGTCCCCGAGGCATCGCGTCGTTCAGGTGCCGTTTACTAGGTCCGTTTGTGAATGCAGTCCGTTTGTGTGTAGTATCGATAGGTGACAGTGGGGACTGTGAGTTGGGACAAGCATTCCAGCAGGGCTGTGAGAATTTCCCGCCGTGTTTGACAGTGTGGTGCCTGTGGTGAGCAATTTGCTGGGCCCGGCGATGTGGCTAGCCATGCAGGACTCGACTCGGCAGTGACTCAGCATCGCGTCGGCCCGTCGGTCCAGGCCCGGGGCTTTGTTTACCCCCCAGCCGTTCGTTCACCCCCGGCTGTCAGTTTTTGCACTCGGCGAACCGGGGACAGGGGGAGCGTTGCCAAGCCATGCGCAGTGCCGCGGACTCTCTAACTGGCGCGTCACGGCGTGGCCCTGTCGCCGGCCCCGGTAGGTAGACTGTTTCCGAGAGTCGTTTTCGTCGCTCTGCTTCTCTCGCACCTATACGGCACGCCTAGAGTGCTAGAGAGACACAGCGACGAAAACGACTCTCGGAATCGGTCCGCAGGGACGGCGAGGGGCGCGGCAGGGCGCGGACCCGTGACGCCGACGCCGACGTTGACGCCCCCCGAGGGCCTCGAGGGCCCCGAGTTCCCCGAGTGGGCCGCGTGCCGAGCACCGGCCGCACTGCACTGCGTCGCCGCGGCCGCCATGGCGACGCTGGCGACGGCGACGCCCAGCAGGCCGACTCCGAGCGACGCCCTGTCTCTCTCGCACCCCCGCGGCACGCCCCGTGAGTGCGAGAGAGACGACACTCTCTCCGGAACCGGCCTGCTTATGCTGCTCGCCGGCTGCTCGTGGCCCCGTTTGCACGACGCCGACGTGCGTGACGCCGACGGCGGCCACAGCACGGCCCGAACCGCCGGCCGCCGCTCTGTTTATCTACGACCCGTGCACGACCTGCTCACTGCACTGTAGCCGACAGGGGGAAATTCGGACGAGGCTCGCTGACAAAAACATTGAGCAGCACGTTTGCGTGTTTGTGGTGCCGGCGCTTGTCTGTGTGTTTGTGTCTCTGTGTGGGGCGTGGCGGCCGCGCGGCTGGAAGGAGGTGGAGGACGCTGGGCCGGGTGACCCCGACCGCGCCAAGTCGGGCCGGCGGGCCGTCGTCTGCTCCGCCAGGAAAGGCGCGCCAATGTCACCGACGACTGCAGGACTGCAGTGCCGTTTCTTCGTGTCCTCGCGGCGAGCGTGCGGTGTGCACCGCCGGCCGGATCATTAGCGAAAGTTGGAGTTCGTCAAAGCCGCCGACCCGATCCGGCCGCTTTCTCCACGCACCGGCAACGGCATCAACAGGCTGCACTGGACGGCAACGGCAACGGCAGCAACAGCAACCGCAGCGGCATCGCGTGCAGACGGCGAGCCCCTGCGAGGCGGGCCACCGCCGGCACGTAGCGCGGCGCTGCGCGGCGGGCGGCCTACCCCGGCCTCGTCAGGCGCTCCCGTTGACCCCGCCCTCTGCGTGACTTGTGCTGACGGCCCTGTGTGCTTGTTTGCGTAGGTGAGGCTCCAGGATGCAGCAGCCCTACAACCAGCAGCCCCAGGGCTACTACCCGCCGCCGCCCCCGGGCATGGCGCCCCCGCAGCCCTACGGCTACCCCCAGCAGGGCTACCCGCCGCCCCAGGGCTACCCTCCGCAGGGCTACCCGCCGCAGGGCTACCCCCAGCAGCCGCCGCCGCCCGTCGTGGTGGTGCAGGAGACGCGCCACCAGGACGACAACTGCTGCGCACTGCTCACGTGCGGGCTGCTGAGCGGGGCCTGCCTGTGCTGCTGCTGCGACTAGGACTCTGTGATAAAACCTTTTCTACGTTCGTTTTGTGTTTTGAGTGAGGCGCCCTCGCCTCCGAGTGTGGAGCGCGTCGGCCAGTGTGTGAATGCGAGTGTGTGTGTTTGTGTGTAGGAGTGACTATGGCAATCGAGTTAACCATAGTGACCAGTATTGGATCGCTTTATGTGCGATTTTTAAAAGTATACGTACAAGTAAAATCTCTGAAGTACCTTCATGTACTGCATGAATATTGCACGCGATTAGCGTCCCTTTTTACAATTATTTTGCCGTTGTATACACAACTGTGTCTATAATTTTGTGTGGACATGTTATGTCGTGCCACAGACTTTGAAAAAAATCTGTAAGGACGAATCGTGCTGATCTACACTTGATTTGGAGGCGTGCCGTTCATGGAGGCGTGGGACTGCTCATGAGGCGACCGCCTTACGTAAGTGTCGCGGCGAGAGCGAACAGAGGCTTCCAGTGTGCCTGCCTCGCCTGCAATGACAGTGGTGTGGAGCAAAGTGGCAACGGTGGTGTCACGCTCAGCAGTGATCATCTAGTCAAACCTGCAAATGTGTAATTCTTGTACGCTTGGAGTCTTGTGTAACTGTCACTCACTTGTTCTTCGTTTGCACTTTGTTGAGACTGAAAAAGGACTCCGGGGCCCTGGGCCCCGTTGATTCCATTTCTTTGCATTCCTGCCTTCGTTGCATGCTGGAGTTGTCTGTTTCCATTTTAAATCCCCTTTTGAACCCCTTTTTGGTTCTATTTTGCACAAATTTTACCGATGAAAAAGACAGGATTATCATTCTAAACTGATGGCACAAATTCCTGATAGGAAAAAAACAAACATTGAACTGTGTTCAAAAAGTATTTGTTATGTTTTTTTAATATTGTACTGTTTTTGAGTATTGTAGTTGTCCTTGGAAGACAGTTTTTAAATTCTTGTGAGAAATAAATTATTGTAAACCTTTCTACTCACATCACTCCCCTGTATGGCTTTCACGATATATCTTCGACTCGCACTAAACCTGGTTCTGGTACAGCTTGGGTGGGTGTGACCACCCTACAGCCTTCACAAACTATCTCCCATTCTGATTCCTCTCGGCTTTCCGTCGTTGTTTGTCTTCGTTACCTGGCTTCCTGCAGCAGAAGCGCGAGGGCGTTGCGTTCCGAGCCAATTGTTTTTGCCTGCCGAACGGGGCGTGCAACTTTTAGCCTTTTTACGCCCCTCTGGGACGCGCGGCGAATCCCCACCCGTCGGCGCGGTGAGATAAGATAGTGCAAAGCCGGCGGAGCGCGAAGCGGGTGACGCACTGCCAACGCGCTGCCCAGCCAGCCGGGCCCGCCTCCAACGAAGCCCGCGCCGGAAAGGGCCTTTTATTTGTTATTCCACGTGACTCGCGACACGGGACGAGGCGCCCAGAGGTACAGTACGGCACGTGAGCACCGAGAGCGGCGAGCAGTACACAGTGGGCCAGAAGACCGGTGGAGGCGGCCAAAATTCTGGACGCGTTTTGAGCTCCAGAGTCGCTGAACAGGGCTCGAACCGAACGTGTGACCCCACCGATGGATTGCTCTTCGAACGAGGAATCCATTGGTGGGGTCACACGTTCGGTTCGAGTCCCGTTTAGCGACCCTGGAGTTCAAATCGCGTCCACAGTTTTGGCCGCCTTCGCCGGCCTTCTGGCCCACTGTGCGCCGGCCAGGCACGACGGCACTCGCGGACCGCCGGGCCTTCGAATCCAGCAGCCAGCTCCACGAGAAAACGCGCCGGCGGAAACTGATACGCCGTCACCTTGCCGCCTTGCACCGCCTGGTCGGCATTGGCTCCGATCAGCTGGCGGAATTCCTGAGCGCGAAGCGCCGCGCAGTGCGCAGCCACGCCGCGGTTACCTTGCTCTGAGAACGGCCAGTCCCAGTGCTGCGAGTGCCCCCACCCGCCCCCACCGCGCAGCTTGAGGCGAGAGCTGTCCGTGCCGCCCACTGGGCACGAGGCACGCCAAGGCAGCAGGCAGCCCAAGGGCGCCGCTTGCATACAAGTCGTATTGACTCGTTGGCACGCGGGTCGATACAGAAGGGGCCGTTGGGCAGTGTAGTGGCCAAGCAAGCCAGTCTAGGACCCTAAGACCTCAGACCGCGACGAACGCCTTTCGGACTGCATTCACGGCTAGGCGCTGTGTAGAACGGCGTCGAGCAGAGGTTAGGTTAGGTTGCGCTGTCTGTAGCTAGGCCGCGGCCGGTGGCAGCCGCCTGCGGGCCGCGGGATAGGCAACCCATCGGGCAGCCGTGCACGAACAGTGGCCTCTCTTCGAGCCACTCCCCGGCGTAGATACCCCACGCGTTGTGCAAGGCGCCGCGGGCTTTTCGGATTGAATGCCGGGGCGCGGAGGCGTCGCGCCTCACTCCGTGTTTTGGCTCTGAGTTTACAGCCGTTCGTGACCAAGTGCTGTGTACGTTTGCATGGGACTAATGACGCCGTGTTTGCTTCCTTGCAGAATGGTGACCATCACTACGTTCGTGGGTGACTGCCCTCCAAGCCCCGGTCATGGCCACCGCCACGGCCACCACGGTCATCGCCGCCACGGCTCTCCTGGACGCCACGGCGGGCCTCACGGCCACCATGGACCTCATGGACATCACGGCCACCATGGACCTCATGGGCATCATGGCCCACATGGGCATGGTCCTCACCACGGTCCTCACCACGGTCCTCATGGACATGGCCCCCACCATGGCCCCCACGGTCATCACGGACCCCACGGTCTCGTTGGACGCCTCGTTGCGCTAGCACACCACGTGCCTCATGGTCACCATGGCCCTCATGGTCCTCATGGACACCATCATGGTCCTCACGGCCACCATGGCCCCCATGGACACCATCACGGTCCCCAGGGCCACCACGGACCTCACGGACATCATGGCCCCCACGGCCACCATGGTCCCCATGGACATCATCACGGTCACCATGGCCCCGCTTGCTAATCTGCGCCGGCCTGGCTGAACCATGATAAACAACAATGGACCACTTCGGAGAACTGGACCTCAGCTCTGCATTATGCCACTATCATTCCACTTTTATTAAATCACAGTGAGACCTCCCTGTGTTGGTCTCTGAATCTTCATATATCATTCGTAGTCAGTAGATTGTATCCCGTAGTTTAGCGTCAATCGAATATTCTGTTCTAGTTTAGACTGACTGTGCAATCAATAAAAGTCTGAAAAGATGAACCCTGTTGTTTTCATTGACCCGCCTCCACAGAGACGTGTGTCCAGTCTGAAGTTGGCTGGAGCGCCCGAAGCTCTGCCTGGAGACTCTGCCTGTTGATTCACCGCCCACGCCTGGGAATCGCTGCAGCGATTACCGCAATGATGCCCCGCTCTCTGGCTCGGGTTTTCCTCGGACAGGCCTGGGCCGGCCGGGGCTGCCCACATGATATGGCGGACTAAAATAAGACGACTTTCCTTCTGCGTCACTCCCGCTCCCCGGCCAGCCCATGTGGCAGCCCGCCCGCCTCGCACAGTGGGCCAGAAGACCGGCGGAGGCGGCCAAAACTCTAGACGCGTTTTGAGCTCCAAAGTCGCTGTGCAGGACTCGAAACGAGCGTGTGACCCCAGCAATGGATTCCTCGTTCGGAGAGCAATCCATTGGTGGGGTCACACTTTCGGTTCGGGTCCCATTTAGCGACTCTGGAGCTCAAAATGCCTCTAGGGTTTTGGCCGCCTCCACCGGTCTTCTGGCCCACTGTGCCTCGGCCCGCCGCCGGACTTCCCTCCCCCCCTCGCCCGGCCCAGTGGCAGCCAGTGGCGCGCTCTGCCGCCGGCCGGGCGCGACAGCCAAGCACAGCGTCTCGACGCGGCAGGTGTGCCACTTGTGTGCCATGCCCTGGCAGTCAGTGAGTGACACTTGTTTGTGCAGAACGCCACGGAGGATCTAGCTCTGGCGTGTTTCATTTTTCAAACTAACCGCAGGAAGACTTCCTTTCTCGTTTCCCAAAAAAATCCTAGTGGACCGCAAGTATGAAGCCTGCAGCCTTTTCGAGAACCCTTGCTCCTTTGGCACCCAAAGGTCTTCTTGGAGGAACCGTGGCCACCTTAACCCATAACACTCGGCATTGGTTACTAATCTTTCCTATGGCATTCCCTTCGCGCGCTTTCAAGTCTTCGAGATGCGATGCAAGGTAGAGAGGACTGCGCTAACACTTATTGTTTTAATTTAACCTTTCTGCTGTACTCTTCTGGAACCTTGCTGTGGGTGTTGCTTTTGCTAGTTATCTTGCTTTTCCTTCTTTCTTTTCTTAACATTTTAGTTCCTTTAATCTTTCAATCCTTTGTGCCCTCTCTGACCCCTTTAGACCCCTTCCTGCCCAAAATCTATCTACTTCTGTCATATATTAGTCTTAAGTATTACCTTACCTTGCTCAACACTAGTCTAAAAGCGATAATTCTAATGCAAAATAACAAAATTACATTTATTTACCTGCTATCTAATAGTATGAAATCATATTTATTTTAAAAAATACACCTTTAAAAATTACCTGAAAATTACGGCTTACCTAATTTAATTGCGTAATGCGTGCTAATCACGTCTAATGACTCCCCCTCCTTTCCTTTTGTGTTGCAGAAGAAGATCTAGAAATGGAGCTCTCTTCAAATACTCGTTCTCAGCCATTCAGCCTGTCTAAGTTCTCTAGAAACATGTTTCATTTGAAACCCCTGAAGGAACCAGATGCAGAAGAATTTCCACCATCCAGAAATCCGTCTGAAGTTGGAGATGTTGATGGCAAGGAGTCAACAGGCAACCCTGGCACAGACAACACCGATGGTGTCAGTGGTATAGATGATGGCCTATTACCTGAAAAACCCCATCAATTTCCAAGACCAGGAGACCCTAAATTCAACGGAGAGTATCCTGTATCTCTGCCGGATGTACCATTTGGTGTTGGGGTATGTAAATGATCTTATTACTTAAATTGTTTTACCAAGTATTTTGTTGTTCCATTTAAATAATTGAAATTTCAACTCTCCAGTTTGGCTCCAGCCCTGACTTTCCCGATGTGAATGTATATCAACACAAGAAGACTGTTGCTCAAGGGATGATGGACATCGCTTTGCTGTCTGCTAATGCCAACCAACTACGATATGTATTGGAGAGTGGTGGAAGCCATCCATATTACTTCGCAAGTTTGACATTGATTGGTATTAGTCTCCTCCTGCAGGTAACTTATCTTTCTCACACATCCATAAATAATTTCCTTGTAAGTTCCATTTTCCTAATACATTTTTTTTCCTTTCTTTAGGTTGTTGTTGGAGTAGGCCTGATTTTAAACAGCCGGTACAATGTTACTTATGAGACAAGTATGCGAAAAGCAAATCGGATTAACAATTATACTGTCCTTGCAATATTTTTAATCACAGTTATGAATGTTTTCATATCTGCTTTTGGCATTGCCACTAACAATTCGGGTTCTAACTTTCCTGTTTCTCCTCGTCTTGAGGATGGTACAGGTGCAGAGCTACCCACAGATATGCCTCTTACCTCATCTTAGACTTGCCCTTAAATTAATTCACTGTCAGACATTGGTAACAGTAGCTAGCTATGAGCTTGAATGAGATATCAAAAAAAATGGTACCTGCTAATACATTTTATTTACTTATAACTAAGCCCCTAATATCAAAAAAAGAAACTGAACCTGTAGTAATTTTGGTCGTCAGGATAAGTGTTTACATTTCAATTTTGTTTTACTTGTACGCATACCTGATCACATAACTGCATTTCACTGCATGAATATTAGAATTAGTATTTTTATTGTGTCTGTGATATCCACCTTAGAAAATGTGGACTTATAATCACTTTGTTGTTTTTTGCAATATTCTGCCTTTTCATGTAGTTATTCTGTATTCTCAATTTTGTTTGTGAAGATTTTTATTTTATTGTTGTTTGACTGTTGTGATAGAATGATATTACATTTCCACTTCTTTGCTGCCATTGTCTGTAACTGAATCTTGGCATTTATCTTGTCACAAGACTCACTTTGCTTTGGTGTCTCATTTTCTTGAATACTCAGTTCTCAGTTGTGTCCTGGTGCTATCTGTTCCTATTTTTATTTATCTTATATGAAAAGATTGTTTATTTCTGTTTCCCTTTGCTCAACATTGTTGAATATACGGGTAAAATGTACGCTCTCTTTGCAATGGTTGCACCACGTTTCTTCCAGAAACAAGCTTGAATCTCGATATTTTATTTTGTACTCATACTGTTGTCCGTCCTGTGCTATGCTCTTGTTTTAAGGAGACTACTAAACGTTACTAACAAAGAACTAAAACCAAAAATGTCGTCTACTGTATTTGCAATAAACCACATGAATCTCTGTTGAATTGTGTTTCGTTTCCTCCAACCCTCTCCCCCTTTGCCGCTTGGGGCGCCTGTTGCGTAGGCAGGCCCGCCACGCCGTCGTGCCGGATGGGTTGCCTGCCAACTCCACTCCAGAAACTCGCCACGTTTGGCGGTGTGCGTGTTTTGGCCGCGACTTGACCTAGGGCACAGGGTTGGCGTTGGCTGCATTGGCACCGAGCCACCCTTCCAGGATTTCCCTGGTGTCACGTGACCCCGGATCAATCCTTGCTGCGCGCCGGAGGCCCTGGAGGGGGCAGCCCGCGCTCCGCCACGCGACAGGGCCCCAGCCAGGAGGACGGGACGGTCCTAGCGTCCAAGCCCTGCGTGGGTGTAATTACCGGCAGGAAGTGGCAAGTTGGATCGGCAATCTGGCAGCAGCAGGCGACAGAATGGTGCGTTGGCCGGCCGACAGGTGTCCTGCTCAGATTGTCGAGAGCCGTGTCGAGTGCGTCGCGTCGTCTGCAGTCCTCTCTGCAGGGGGCGTTCCGTATTCCGTAGCGTTGCGTTGCGTTGCGCTCCGTAGTCCGTCTGCCGTCTGCCGTAGCGCAGCGGCTGACCAGTGTCCGGCGAGTCCTGCTAGAGGATCGCCGCGGTAGCGCTTAGATTACCGATGTAGTGTTTGCCGTCTCGCGGGCCCGTACATGCTGACATAGACCCTTCTCTCCCCTGACCTGTATAGGTTGTGGTCCCCTGTGGCGAAGTATGGAAAAGGACCCCCTGAGAGGGACCGCGGCTATCCCTTTGAGCGTGCCGCCCTCCTCGTACCAGGCCCTCGGCGATCAGCATAGCAGACAGGTTCGTACATTTTGACGCATGCTTACGGCTGTCATTTTCATTTTATGCTGCCTCGTTCCGTTTTCGTTATCGTTCTTTTGTGACATCCTCTAACCCAATTTATGATTAACTCATTTTGTTTGTTTATTAGATTTATGTGGAGTCCATATTTATACTTAGTGAATATCCATGATTGAGTTTTTATATGGTCTTGCTATATTTATGTTTGTAAATCGCAAGTGTCTACTATTTAGTCTGATTTTGACATTAGTTGAGGTTATGTTGTGACAGGTCAGGGGAGCAAAATTGATGCAACCAGCAAATATTTCCTTATCTTGACTAGAAGAATTTACTTATCCAGCAAATTAGAAAGTGTTTCCATTTTAGAAACATCCATGAAGTACTTAATTCAATGATAGTCTTGTATGTATGGTATCAGCTAGTTATGTAACATTACTCCTGCCACCTTCGGTTAAAGAGACTCATTATGTAACTGACTCTGAAAAGGTTGAATCGTGCACCTTTCATAGTTCCCATTTCTTTGCAAATGCTCATAACGAAGATCAATTTCTGCTAGTACGTATTATTTATTCAACGCTTCCTTAAGCATATGGCGCCAATGGAAATTTCATTCATTGTTCCGTGTCCATTCATTTTCTCGGTAATTTTGTGCCCTTTCAACTCTTTTCTCGAGTGATGTTCTCATGAAGTAAAGGCTTACATTCTATAGGGTTCATCGTTAGCAGCAAGTTGGTCTGTGTTATGTCTGCGATCAGAGTGTTGTAGCTTAGCTAACGGTTTTAAGGCAGGTGTCGCAGCACAGACAGAGAAAGGAAGGGGGGCCTCAGTCCACGCGCCTCCGCTCATATCTCGGGCGCGAAGCCCTGAACGGCAGGCATGGCATTACAAGATAAGACTTGCAATTTGCGAAGTCTGTTTTACCGGAGGGAATGGAACAATGGCCCCTCGTGAGGAGTATCGGTCTTTGGCACAAACAGCCCCCGCCCCCTCCTCGCCCGCCCCTGGCGCCAATGCACCCTTTCTCCTTGCCCCTCCCCCTCCCCCCTCCCCGGCTCATGCTTTGTCGCGCCGCTCGCCACACCCCGCCCTCGTGACGTCGCGGGCCAAGTCGGAGAGACAGCAGACCGATTCCGAGAGTCGTCTTCGCCTCTCTGTCTCTCGCATCGATACGGGGCGCTCATCCGTGCGAGAGAGACACGGCGACGAAAACGACCCTCGGAATCAGTCGGCAGAGGCATTGCCTTGCCCTACCGCGAGCACCGCGGCCAACCGCGGCCTCGGACCACGCAGTCATTCCGTTCGGTGGTGCCCTTGTCTCGTCTCGGGCTTTGCCAGGCTTTGCTTGGCGCGGCGCAGCGTAGCGGCCGCGGTCTGAGACTCCGCGGCGCTGACGGCGACGTGCCCGTCGAGGACCGCGTGCGCTGCGAGTGTTGATGCCGAGTCGGAGAAGTGCCTGAGCGAAGAGCAAGCCCCACGATGGCAGCGGCAAGTCGAGTGAGTGGGCGGTGTGCAGCTAGTAGAGCCCCATTGCGCCAGCGAGTGCAGCAGACTGTTTCCGAGAGGCGTTTTCGTCGCTCTGTCTCTCTCGCACCCATAGGGACCGCCCCATGAGTGCGTGAGAGACAGAGCGACGTAAACGACTCTCGGCATCAATCTGCAGCGTGCAGTGCAGCGAAGCTTCGCGCGACAGGGGCGGACCGGGAAAGGGGGTGGGGGGTTCGAGTGGTACGGGCGGGGTGCGGGGCAGAGGAAGAGGGGTGCGGAGGGCGGAGGAGTGCAGCCGAGAGTGCCTATCTCGCAGGACGAGACGAGTTGCTGGCGGCGCCGCGTACACTGTACAGTCATCGAGTAGGGCCGGAGGCGGCACGAGCGCGAACCTGCCTCCGTAAACAAGAAGACATGGGGGCGCCCAGCTCGGCGGCGAGGCCCTCCAGGTGTAGTTGATGAGATGTGGGGCGCAGTGCGCCGACTACGTGGCCAGGACTACGTGCTAGTGCACGAGCAGCCGGAGCTGCGGCTCCAGGACCACGGCATGCACGGAGTAAGTTCGTCACTTGTTGCTCTTTGCGCGTTCCGGCTCCAGCCTTTGTCGCCTTGGGCTGTCCAGCGTCACCTGCAGCCTTAGCCTTATCGCGTTACATAAGCGGGAAGCAAAACGGCCTGGCTTCGAGCAGGGGGCGTTTTGTCTTGTTGGACTGACAGTGCGGGTGACGTGTGTCGCGTCGCGCAGGACGGCCGGACGGACACCAGCCCTTCCCTCCAGCGTGCAGGCTTCCAGGGGGTGGTGCGTGTCGGCGAGGGTGCCCAGAGGGTGGCAGGACGCAGCACGCAGGCGCGACGTTGTCCTGCAGATAGGGCGGGTGGCGTTGCTCCGTTGCTCTCCCTCTAGTGCCGTATGGTGGTGCTGCTCCTTTTGCGACAGTGATGCTGCCCTAGAGAGTGGCGGAAAAATCGGCGACCGGCCGGGAAGCCCCACCTTTCCATGGCACCGTGAAAAGTCCCGATGAGTGTCATCTTCTCGCGAGTAAGGGTACTTTTCCGCCCGCCGCGCCGAGTGTTTGTGTGCCGTGTGAGGCTGCACCGTCACCATAACCTAGAAAAGCTTATTTTGGTCGCGGTTCACGCGCTGTTCGGGAGGCCGCTGGTCGGCACTGGAAGGGAATGTGGTTACTGGTGCGAATCGGGAGGGTTGCTGGCTGCACTCTTGACCTATTTCACCTACACTGTGTCTGGGGACATAACCTCTAGTTGTGTTTGCCTAGCCCAGCTGCATTGTATTTACATGTAGACATGTTTGTGTATTTTAGTCATGTTGCTCACATAATAGTTGTCTCCTTTGTCTTTTATCATTCTGTTATCCTCGAAAAATATTTCGCCCTCTTTGTCTTTTGTTGGGATGTGCACACACTCTGGTATTCATTCCGATTTATCACAAAACGTTGCACTAAGCAATTTGTTCACTTCTTTTCCCACCTGAAAACTCAACCCTGGGTTATGGTTAAAGTGCTCAATTTTGAAGATTCAATCATTATTTTTAGTTTTCTTGCTATCTGCCTTGTTTTGAATTATTTTTATTTTTATTGTATCTTGTCTGTAGATTATTGCTTGTGTCAGGGAACTGATCTTGATTTTATTTTTTCGCAGAACACTGTCAATGGAAATCAACATCGTGGATTTTCTGTGAGTTCAGACGATGACATGATTGACATAACCACAACCGGGACCGTGACGGAGCGCTCCATCCATTATGATGACCCAGGAGTGTCTCACTGTAAGTAAAAGTTTTTTAACTTCATTACGTCTTGCTGTTCTGTCTGTCACTGAATATAAATCACATCCTTAATCAATATTAACATATCATTATGCTGAAAACCGTCTCATGCTTGATGTAATAACTAGTTGTGGGGAATCATTTATGTGTGCACAACAAATTGTGTAAAACATGACGCTAAAACAGTCCAGATTGTCAATTTTTTTCTACTTTTTACCAGTTTTTCCATCAGCATTAGCCAACTAGATCTTACAACTGCAGCCAATGTGCTCGGCCCCATAGCCCTAACATTCTGCATGAATTCAGGGCACTAGACTGCCTTGTTGCTTTCTTCTGGATTAAATCTCTTTCTAGTAAATTAGTTTCCCTTTCCCTTGCATAATGCATTCCCAACTCAACCTTGTTTGTCCCAAATGTGTTACGGTAACCTTTCATAAATCCTTATCATAGTCTGCTTTTCATTATCCCTCTTGTCTTTCCAAGTGCCTGGTGTAACATACTGCATGGGAGATGGAGATGGTGAGTAGCTTTGCTTCCCATTTTGATCAATTTTCTGAATGGATTCTATCCATAGCTTTGTAGTGTTTTTGTAATAATAATTTTTAAGCTGATCCTTTGCTTGCACCTTAGAGTAATGTTTTCTTTTTCTTTGCATCTTCATTTTTGTTGTGTTGGTATTTACTTCCTTCCATAGTTATTGGCCTCTGCACTCATGTTCTCACTCCTAGTTTGCTTCAGTTTTCCTCTGTCCAGTCCTGTTCTCTCAATAACCATTTTCTCATAGGATTTCTTGTGGTATTTTTCATGTCATCCTAAATCTACACTGTACTTTTTTGGCCTTATTACCACTGTAGAATTTTGTATGGTCTATGACCTTTTTTCCTAGAAATAATTAGCTTGACATGATTCATTTACTTTGATGCATGCATTGATTCTCATTGAGTTGATTTTATCATTTTCAGTTGCTGCTGATGGAGATGAGATCCCTGGGATTGGACAATATGAAGATTTTCACACAATCGACTGGCAGAGAGATATTGCCAGAGATCGCATGCGTCATAGATATATTGTCAAGAGAAAACAAAACTCCCTGTTTGACTTAGTCAAAGGAGCCCATGATGCTTGGTCAGGATGGGTGTGTGTGTTGTTAGTGGGGGTAACAACAGGAGTATTTGCTGGTGTAATAGATATTGGTGCATCATGGATGTCAGATTTAAAACATGGTATCTGCCCCGAAGCATTTTGGCTGAACCGAGAGCAGTGTTGTTGGTCATCAAATGAAACTACTTTGAGCTTTGACATTGGCAACTGCTCTCAAGTGAGTAAAATCATTTCTAGTTATGTATTTGCACACGAATTAAGTTGATTTACTTTATGTGACATTTTTGTTTCTTTTAGTGGTTGAACTGGTCTGAAGTTCTCGGTCAGTCCAGGGAAGGAGCAGGTGCATACATTATAGGGTATCTCATGTATGTAGCATGGGCACTGCTCTTTGCATCACTTGCTGCCGCGCTAGTCAGAATGTTTGCTCCATATGCTTGTGGTTCTGGTATCCCTGAGGTAATTTTCTTCTACATTTTATTCCTAAAATACCTAACTGGGTCTATCATTTTTGTAACACATTCCTTTTGCCTCTTTTCCAGATCAAGACTATTTTGAGTGGTTTCATCATCCGGGGCTATTTAGGCAAATGGACTCTGATCATCAAGTCAGTGGGCCTTATGCTTGCTGTATCTGCTGGTCTCAGTCTTGGGAAAGAGGGCCCTATGGTCCACATTGCTTGTTGCATAGGTAAATAAACTTTTGTAAAATCGGTGATGAGTAAAGAGAAAGGTTGAGTGTTAAAACATGCTTGTTGTTTTTCAGGGAACATTCTTTCCTACCTCTTCCCTAAATATGGAAGGAATGAGGCCAAGAAAAGAGAGATCCTATCAGCAGCTGCTGCTGCTGGTGTGTCTGTTGCCTTTGGAGCCCCCATTGGAGGTGTCCTTTTCAGTTTGGAGGAGGTATGGCTTATAATTGTTAATGTACAATAATTCCATATTTTTCTCTTTTTGCTGTAAATTAAATTTAATTTTTAATCCTGATTTTTTCTTAATTTTTTCATAGGTTAGTTATTATTTTCCCCTCAAGACTTTGTGGAGATCTTTCTTCTGTGCCCTCGTGGCTGCTTTTGTGTTGCACTCCATCAATCCCTTTGGAAATGAACACTCAGTTTTGTTCTTTGTCGAGTATAACAATCCATGGATCTTCTTTGAGCTTGTACCATTTGTTGGTCTTGGGATCATTGGGGTGAGTCCAATTGTACCTGCTTTCCATTTTGTTTCCAATCAAACCCAACTCTTTATTAATGATTTTTGTATCTTATTCATTTTTGCAGGGAGTTATTGCAGCAATATTTATTCGAGCTAACCTGTACTGGTGCCGCTATCGCAAAACATCTAGGCTTGGTCAGTACCCAGTTACTGAGGTTTTGGTTGTGACAGTGGTCACAGCAGTTATTGCTTACCCGAACCCTTATACCCGCATGAGCACCAGTGAGCTCATTTACCTCTTGTTCAGAAAGTGTGGTGTCACAAATATGGATCTCATATGGTGAGAAATTTTTGTTTAACTCCAATATATTTCCACTTTAAGCTGTAACCCATTTTATAAATTTTAATTTATAACTTGTTTACAGTGATTACAACCGTAACTTCACTGACGTGAAGTCAAGCATTGAACTGGCGCCGGCCGGTCCTGGGGTTTATGAAGCTATGTGGCTACTTGTACTTGCACTGATCTTCAAATTGGTGTTGACTGTGTTTACATTTGGTATGAAAGTGCCCTGCGGTCTCTTCATCCCATCCCTGTGCTTTGGGGCGATCATTGGTCGTATTGTGGGTGTTGGTATGGAACAGCTGGCTTACAACTACCCTAGCATCTGGCTGTTCAGTGGGGAGTGTTCCACTGGGAAGGATTGTATAACACCTGGCCTGTATTCAATGGTTGGTGCAGCAGCAGTACTTGGCGGTGTCACTAGAATGACAGGTAAGTTTTGGTATTGGCATTATTTTTAACTGATTCAGATGTATCAAGCTTTATTGATGTTTTGTTTGTTTATTTTTTCAGTGTCGTTGGTAGTGGTAATGTTTGAGTTGACGGGTGGAGTTCGCTACATCGTCCCACTCATGGCTGCTGCTATGGCCAGCAAATGGGTGGGAGATGCTTTGGGAAGTCATGGCATTTACGATGCACACATCAATCTCAATGGTTATCCATTTTTGGATAGCAAAGAAGAGTTCGCCCATACTTCATTAGCAGCTGATGTTATGCAGCCTAAGTGTGTATCTTAACAGTTCGGTCTTCAAGTATGATCATCAGTCTATGCATTTCTTACCTTCTGTTTATTTTCTCTTTTCCTCAGGCGAAACGAAACTCTTAGTATATTAACACAAGATTCAATGACGGTGGAGGATGTTGAGACTCTAATGAAAGAAACTGAGCACAACGGTTTCCCTGTTATTGTGTCACGTGAGAGCCAATATTTGGTTGGCTTTGTCCTCAGAAGGGATCTCAACTTGGCCTTAGGTATGTGATGATATCCCGCTGTTCGCATGATCCGTCTAAACTTATCCTAATCAACATATCATACATTTTTACATGAAAGTTATTCATGGTTTAATATTTGTTTACTTTCAGCACAAGCTCGGAGAGCTGTGGAAGGCCTAAGACCAAATTCATTGGTACTCTTCACCAGTAGTTCCCCTCAGCAACCTCCAGAACCGTCTAGCCCTGCACCACTCGTTCTGAAAAACATACTCGATATGGCTCCCATTACCATAACAGACCAGACTCCAATGGAAACTGTTGTTGACATGTTCCGCAAGCTTGGTTTGAGGCAAACGCTTGTGACACATAATGGGTTAGTCTCCTCAATTTTTTGACTGTACATAGTTATCTGCAAGTGTGTAATATTAAATATGAATTTTTCCCCCCTCCACAGTCGCCTTCTAGGTGTTATAACAAAGAAAGATGTATTGCGATATATCAAACAATTGGACAACGAAGATCCCAATACTGTCCTTTTCAACTAAGTTGAACTAAGTTCACCACCAATGCTTTGCATGGTGGACCCAGTGGCTAACTGTGATGAAGCAAGAGGTTTCCTCATCTTTTTTTTTTTTTTTTTTTTTTTTTTAATCATGCTTGTTTTTTTTTAAAGATGGGGTTTCCAGCTATAGTTATAACATTTCTCATTAATCCCTCTGTATAGCATTTAATGAAATATTTTGATTTGTGAGGGATATTTTGAGCTGCAAGACAAATGTTTTAGCATGTTAGTGATCTGTCAGAACTGAATGCATTGTATATATGAAACAATCTTTGTGTTGCTGTTTTAGGTAATTGTCCTAGATATTTTGTTTCCTGGTTATTTTATTCGCAATTTGAAAGTCCAAAAATTCAATTGTCCTATTTAATAGAATATCAACTTTTATATCATGTTTTTAAGTTTTAGTGAAATTTAATTTTTAAATTTGGCGTTATTTACTTTCACCATTCTTTTACCTTGAATCAAGTTTTATTTTAAATTTTATCCTTTGTGATTTTGGAGATGTTAGTTTTGCGCAGCTTATTGGTCTTACTTGTCAACTGTAAAAAAATTTTGTTGTACAATCCTTTTTACCCTTGCCTTTGTGTCAAATTCAGAGGGAGTGAATGTTTTACTATGAAATGTGTGCTGTGTCTTCCTATCATTTAAGTGTGGTTTTACTTATCTTTTTTTTTTCTTTGCCAGACCAGATTAGTTAATGTTGTAAACTTTAGATGAGAAGAGTAACTGGAATGACCGTTTAAAAGAGTAGGCAGTGTGTGCCAGTTGCATGGTTCTATTAATTCTGAACTTGTAGTCAACTGGCAATAGTTCATAACTTACTCTTGCCTTGCATTAACTTAAACTTATCCCAGAGTTTGTTGTTTCTTTTTTTTTTCTTTTTTTTTTTTGCAATTTAGTAAATTTTTCTGCTTTTGTTGTGAAAATTAACTCAGACTGAAAGCATTTGGCTCTGCAAGCTTTGTGACAGCTACTATGAGGACTAATCTTTTGTGTTTCTTAACATAACTGCTAGTCATGTCCAAGGAAAATCGGTAGCCATTTTCTGATTCTAATTAACCTACTGTACCCAGTGCATTCATGCTTAAAACTTTTGTCATTTTATTTTGCATGTATCTTTCCAAGTAACCTTCTTTTATTGCAAGTGGTGCTGGCAACCACACAGATGTTAAAGAGCATAGCCATTCCATTATGTAATATTGGAGAGTAACTATTATTATTATTTATAAATATTACGATTTGATTATATAAATTTATCTATGTATATGTTTTACGTAAGAATATGATCTGTATTCAAGAACTGTGTTTCTGACTTATGAATTTTCTAATTTGATTTTATCAATCAATAAGTTTGTCTCATTTTAAGTGAATGCAATCCTAGTTAGATGAATTTTTATTTGTCCATGTGTAAGTTGGCTTGAGCATCTCCAAACTGATTTTTCATGGCCCCCTCTACATTTGTAAAAGTGTCACAAACTCTCATCCAACCTCTTCATCGATTTTGTTTTCTCACAAATGATCAAATTAGGGAAAATAGTAAAGGTATTACTCGAATAAAATTGCCTCTACAGCGTGTTTTGAGTCTTATTCTTGTCTCTTCTCTCCTTGGGGTCTCTCTCTGGGGTACCTTAGGCGGCCGCGACGCCGCGACCTACTAGAGACCACCCCTGGTTAAGTTGGCACTCCCTCCCGCTCCCGTGATAACAAGTCGCGTCCGTTCGCATTTAAACAGCCTAGTTAATCGCGTGACGCATCAAAATGGCTCCTTTTCCATTTCCGCGCCCATGAGTGCCTGAGGTTGGGTGGCGCCCGGACCGACGCGACGACGGGACGGGTTTTGTTCGGAGCTGCTCGCTCTCGAATGGGACTGCAAGGCCGTCGCCGTTCCATTTTTATCTTCAAGTCCAAGTCCCTTGGACTCGTACGAAACGACGTCGGGGTGGTTTGTGGTTGGGACTCTTCCTGGCCGAGGGGTGAGTGCAAACGCAGCGCGGCCAATTGTTGTCAGTTCTCCTGTTCTTATGTCTTCACATTTGAGCCAGGGCCAGTCTCGCCTGGTCGAGACGCCCCTGACTAGTGGAAGTGACGGTGATGTGAGGTTAAGAGTCGCGAACAGCTGGTAAACAGTCGTCAGCGCGCATGCGCGGGGAAACACAGGGACCGCGAAAACGAAAATTGAATGACAGTGTCCCGATAACTGCTGCAATCCAATGCGAAGCACATTGACCGACCTGATTCATTTGAAAACCCAGTGAGAAACCTGCGTCGTGGCGGTTCTAAGCGACCGGGGCCCCTCTCTGTGATGCGGGAGCGGGAGCTAAACAAGTTCATCCTTGGCGGTGCACGTTGGGTTGCCTAGCTGCAAGGCGCTCAGGGCTGGCGTAAGGCGTGCAGAGACACAACTCCCGTTGGGCCACTTTTCGCCCACGGCAAACACGACGGCTGGGACACAAATTGCATTTCGAATGGCTTACCGTCAAAAAAGAAAGACGACATCCACTCACAAAGCTGCGTCAATTCAGCATATCCACTCTTGCCGAGCCGTGAACATGATGGTGGAGATAGAGCAGTACGATGGGTTGCCTACGCACGGCCGACGGGGTCGGCGACGGCGCGTCCGTGGGTCAAGTGAACGCGAGTACGCCGAGTAGCCCGATGGGAGTTCATCGCGGTGCGGCGCGAAGGCAATCGCAGCCGATGCCTTTCCGTTCACCCCGATTTTTTAACGACCCCGTTTCCTGAAAAGGCGAGCAAGCACCCGGCAGGCTGCTGGTCGGGGTGGTGACCCTCCGGTCGCGGCCGTTGCTCCTACGCCGATGGCTGCTCCGAGTGGCGCGAGTGAGTGGCGGTGGCGTAGTTGCGGCAGGGCGTGGCGCGGCGGGGCGGGGCGGGGCGGGGCGGGGCGGGGCGGGGCGGGGCGGGGCGCAGCCTTGGAGCCGTAGGAAGCACCGACGTACAACAACCGATCATCTCCCGTCCGTCCCGTCCCGAGTCTGCAGACTGATTCCGAGAGTCGTTTTCGTCGCCCCGTCTCTCTCGCACTCTTACGGGACGCCTCATGAGTGCGAGAGAGACAGAGCGACGAGACCGACTCTCGGAGTGAGTCTGCTGGCCGAGTCGGCGGCGCCGCGCGAGAGGCGGAAGTTGAAGGTTCGCTGTCACGCCGATGCCGATGTCGGCCGTCGGCACGTGTCGAAACGAAGCACACAATGAACTCGCATCAATTATGGCGCGAAAATGGCGTGCTGCGCGGTGCTGCGCGTCCATAATACATTTGGCACGCCGGTCGACTGGCCGAGTGGACGCGTGGGCGTGCGCGGGTGGGTGCCGCGCCATTGCGCGACGCGGTCGCGGTGTTTATGCCCGGCCGGCGTTCCGGAGTTTTGGTTCGGCCAGGTTGTTGAGAAACGAAGCGCGACGTAGGGCCTGGCGCCTGCCTTGCGCCGCGTTGCGGACTCATTCCGAGAGTCGTTTTCGTCACTCTGTCTCTCTCGCACTCATAGTGCGCCCCGCGAAGGTGCGAGAGAGACAGAGCGACGAAAGCAACTCTCGGCTCGGAATGAGTGCGCTGGTCTCCTCCGCCGTGGGACTCGCGCTTGTCTCATTAGGGTCCTTGTCTCATCGCGGCCCTCGACGCTAATAGGGGCAGAGCGCCGCAGAGCGCGCTGTCCACCTTGCCGTCCTCCAGGAACAAGCCGCTTGCAGTGCAGGGCACCACTGTTTGCATCTGGTCTGGTCACGACCATGGCACGACGCTGCACTGCTTGCTCTATTTTTGTCACCGCGCTTCGAGCTTCCAGTGGATCGATTCCGAGAGTCGTTCTCGTCGCTCTGTCTCTCCCGCACCTGTATGGGACGCCCATGAGTGCGAGAGAGACAGAGCGACGAAAACGACTCTTGGGATCAGTCTACAGTGGCGGAGGAGCGCCGGTTCTACTTCACGAGCAGATCCCCAACAGTGCGTTCGTCGCTCTTTCTCTCTCGCGCCCCAGCGGAACGCCCCGTGAGTGCGAGAGAGACAGAGCGACGAGAGCGATGCAGCTGGCCGGCGGAAGTGGCCGGGCTATCTACAAGTGAGTGAGGGTTGACGTGAGAATTCGGTTTGAATGGGGAATGGGGGAATGGGGGCAGGTCGGGCCTGGCTGGGCTGGGCTGGGGTCACGACCCCGAGGCGCGGGCCGGGCTGGGCCCTGGAGGGAAGGGCAGAGTGGTCCGAGCGACCATCGCGGACATCTCCCCGGCCGGCACCGCACTAGCGCAGGCCCCGCGTCGATGCGGGGCACGGCCGGCACGGGGCAGGCCAAGCCCAGTCCTGGATCTGGACCTGGATCTGGATCTCGATATCCTGGCCGCTATGGCTGCAGCTTAGCGGCCGGTCCCCGCGTCCAGGCCGCGCCCCGCCGCGCCCCGCCACTCCCGGTAACGGACTGGACGGTCGGCCGGCCCTCCCAGTGCCCCCACCCCCACCCCCACCCCCGCCTTTAAGCCCCTGTCGCGGCGCACGGCCAGGCACAGCGCGGCGGGCCGGGCACGGCCGCTCGGCTTGGCGCTGGGCTGCCGCGCCGCTGGACGCCGCCGGAGCGATTCAGGGAACGGACGAACGGCGCGCTGGCCAGGCCGGCCACTCGCAGTGTCGCAGTGCTACGCCGTGCTACGCAGCATCGCCGCGGACCGCATCGCATCGCGCATCGTGCAGGTGTACGTCGCGGCGCGCCCGCTGCACCCGCTGCACCGCACCCCCGTCTTCGTCTCCGCGTCCGCGGCCACGCCGGCCACCCCGGCCACGCGCACCTGCCCGTCGACGCCGTGCCGCCCGCGCGCCACCCGCGGCTGCCGTGAGAAGGGTGTGTTGTGTGAGGGTCGTTAGTGTGTGAGGGTCGGTAGTGTGTGAGTGTGTGCGTGTGTATCTATGTGTGCGTGCGTGTCGGCTCTCTCCGCCGCGCTCCGTTTGGCGTGGGAGGGCTGCACCGCATTGCACCGCACTGCACGCCGCCACCGCAAGGGTGGTCCTCTTGGATCCGAATCCGCTTCGGTGTCTTCGTCGAAACGTTGCGCACGCCCACAAGTCACCATCGTACGGCAGGGATAGTTGGCGGACAATCCGGCCGTGCGGCACAGTTTCGCCCCGAGACATAGAGACGCCGCGCATTTACGCTAGGTACAGTGTTAGCCTTTCAAAAAAAGACAAGCAAAAGACAAATAGGAATAAAACAACAAAAAAGGCAATCTCCTACTTTTTTTTTGTTTTCGAGAGGAGAATGACTACGCGACGGTTCCTTCCCTCGAGAGTCAAGCCTCCTACGTTTCTCTCTCTTTCTCGATAAGGAGAAACGCTGACGACCGATTTCCAAGTCCACTCGTGATTGACTCGAATATCGCGCGACTAGCGGTCTGCATACGTTTGTGTTTGTGTGAGTGCGCGTGTCCGCGTGTGTGTGTCTGTGTGCGTGAGTGTCTGTGTGTAGGTGTGTGTAGGTGTGAGCGTGCGTGTCCGTGTGTGTGTTTGTGCGCGTGTCCGTCTGTGTGTGAGCACGCGCTCGTGTGTGTGTGTGTGTGTGTGTGTGTGTGAGGGGAGCAGCGACAAACCTCCTCGCGCGCCGCCGCCGCGGCCGAAAGGACCTGAAGGACCACGACGTCGCCTCTCCCTTGCCGGACGGCGCGACGGCACGCTGCAGCACGCGAGAGCCGAATCGTGGAAATTTACCTTGCAGATACGGTCTCGGCTCGTCGCTAGCCGCGGAAGCAACAACTTTATGAGGTTCATGGGGCAGCCGGCCGGCCCGGGCCGCCGCCCCGCCGCCCCGCCGCCCCGGCCATAGGTCACTTGGTAACGCCTCGTCCGCCTCGTCGTCACGGAGGCCGTCACGCCGGTGCCCCCGGTGCATTATCTCCCCGTGCTCCGCGCCGCGACGCGCCGCGACGCTCCCCTCGCCGAAACGCGCCGTGTCGCCGTCGCCGCGCCTCCGCCGCGCCGTGGCCCTCGGTCCCCCTGGCCAGCCCTCGGCCAGCCCTTGGCCGCCGTCGCGGACACCTCCGAGCTGCTGGGCTCACGCGCGACCTTCGTCGCGATCTCTCCGCCATTTTTGGGCCACTTCTGGCGTCGGCTATTTTGGCGAACTCTGCTATCGGCCCCTCGCCGTGCCGCCGTGCCCTGTTTTTCGGCGATAAGCCGCACCGGACTGCCGACCGGACCGGCGACCGGACCAAGCGAGGCGCGCCGTGATTGGGAGCCGTCAACCTTTTGCTTTTACTTTTACTTTTCCACTTTGTTTTCGCCAAGTGGGTTGTTAGGGCTTGGCCAGCCCGCTCGGCCTGCCCGGCTTGCTCCAATCCGAGCCGCGGCGCGGGAAGGCCGTCTAACCATGGCCTGGTGCGATCCGGAAGAGCCTCTCCCCCTTGAGATGTTGGTCGGGTAAGGATGTGTGTCACGCGAGTGAGAAATACAAACCCCATCATGGCTTTTAGCTGGAAGCAGAGTGGCAGTCCTACACGCAACCTTCGCCTGGACCTTTACCTAGCTTGTTCTTTCATCTTTCGTTCTGGTTCACGCTCCCCATGATAATGGTGGCAGTGGGTCGCGTGGGAGGCGATGTGGAGCATCGGGCCCGAAGGGGATTGAAAGAGTACAGTGTGGGGCGCAGACGAGCCCCTGCAGACTGATTCCGAGAGTCGTTTTCGTCGCTGTCTCTATCGCCCTTCAAGTGAGAGAGAGACAGTCTGAGTCAACTGCGCTCTCCCCGCGAGGCTCCGCTGACGGGCCTACCTCGCCGCCCGGGTACAAGGGTGGCGTGGGGTGCTGCGCCGGGGCCTTGGCGGGGTTCTTCACACGGCGGGGTTCTACGCGGGGCGGCGGCGCTGAGCGCCCCGCCAACGCAGCCAAGGCGGGCAAGGGCGCGAGCGGCGTGCGGGGAGGGTGGGGCGGGGCGCGGCGGGGCGCGGCGGGGCGCGGCGGGGCGGGGCGGTTCGCGGGCCGCGCGACAAAGTGGCAAGTGCGGCGACTTGGCCGGCCGGCCCGTCGGCCAGTCGGCCAGTTTGACTGAAGCCGGCCTCCCTTGCGGGCCGAGCCCAGAGCCCAGAGCCGCAGCGATACGTTGGTTCGGCCGCACGCCGCACGCCCCGCGAGGAACCGCGCCGCCGCGCCCCGCGCCCTGCAGCCGTTGTGATAAGTGGCTATCGGTGACGTCACGTGCATCTGATGCTGCGCCCCCTACCGCCCCGCCCCCTACCACGCCGTGGCCCCGCTGGCCCCACGCTGGCCCCCTGCAGCACCGTCTGCCGGCCGGCCGTCTAGTTTGGCGCGAGTCCGCCGCCAAGAGAGACGCAGAGCCGAGCCGAGCCGAGCCGGTCCGTACTGGTCCGCACTGTCCGCGCTGTCCGAACTGTCTGCAGTCCCCTCTCGCCTGCATCGCCCGGCAGCCCCTGGCAGCGCCCAGTTCAATGGACCGTCGTGCCGCCTGGACGCCTTGTCCATCCCCAGCGCACTGGACTAGATAGCACTTGTGGGCGTGCGCGCGTCGTCGTGTGTGCGTGAGTGTGCGTGCGTGCGTGCGTGAGTGTTGTTTCGCGGCGCGTAGTGTTCGAGAACGCGCTCGAAAATTGCCTGGTGGCGTGCTCGCCCTCTGCTTGCCCTGACCGCGGCGTCGCGGCCGAGCGCGGGCACCACGGCGTCGACCGGCAGCGCCGTCCTCACCCCCGCCGTCACTAGGACAGGGCCGCCAGGACCGCCGGGACTGCCAGGACCACCTCCGGGAACGTACCCGCCGCCTCCGGGAGCGCCCCTGCCGCCCCGCCGCCCGGCCATGAGCGACGCGAGGGCGTCGTCCGCCGTGGCAGGCATCGCGCCGACGACGGCCCGTCGCCCCCACGGCCACCACCACATCCACCACCACAGCGCGACCGCCGTCAAGAGCACCGAGGCCGTGAGCGCCGTCAGCATGCTGCAGAACTCGATGCAGGTGCTGCAGCGCATGGACGACCTCCACCTCGACGAGGACTGCGACGACGACTTCGAGCCGGCGCGCGTCACGGCGCTGGTGGCCGAGACCCTGGGGCTGGAGGAAGTGAACGACGCCGAGGTGTCGGCCCTCATGCGGGAGTCCCTGGCCGTGGCCGAGCGCCTCGCCGCCGCCTCCCTCATGACGTCCGAGTCCGCCAAGCGGCGGCTCCAGGCGCGCTCCATCGAGCTGGGCCTGCCCCTCGCCCCCAGCCACGGCCTCGGCCACGGCCTCGGCTTCGGCGCGGACCTCGAGGAGTACGTCCCGCCGCGCGCCCTGCTCCTCTACCTCGTGCGGTAAGGCTCATTGTTTGCCCTGGGCAGGCCAGGCTGCAGGCCACGCGCGGCCTGTCCATGGAGTGTCCCTGGAGTGTCCGTGATGTATACCCGATATCCAGGTCAGGTGTGGCGGCCAGGCCGGTGGAGTCGAGTGAGTGGAAAGCGAGGAAACCTCCCGCCCCGCCCTGCCCTGGCGGGGCTGGCCGCCGAGGCCCCGCCGCGCCACGCCGGCCCATCTCTCTGGCATTGGACTTTCTACCAAAGTGGACCTGCTTTGTTGAGTAGTTGGTGGCGGCCGGGAGGCAGTCCGCGGCCTGACAGCTCCGTCATTACGGTCTTACGTGGCTTGTTTACATCGCCGAGGCGGCCGCGCACCGCCACGATAATCTCGCAAAGAGTGTAGAGTGTCGCGATGGCGGACCGGCGAACTTTGCTTTTGCTGCTTTGGGCCGCTGGGCTGCTGGGCCCTCTGACGCGGGGCCGCCCCGCCCCGCGCCGCCCCGTGCCGCCCCGGCCGGCGCGCTGCGGTCACCGCGGACTTCCCCGCCGCGTGTATTACCTTATCGTCGTCGTGGAAGACCGCGAACGCGAACGCGCGGCCCGCGGATCTATCCCTGCCCCGCCCGCCTTATCGCGCCGTCTTTGCCGCACTCTTTCCGCCGCGCTTTCTCCGCCCCGCGGACCTCGCCGACGAGCCGGCCGTCTTCGCCTCCTCCGGGGCGACGACGCGACGTCGCGGCGGCAGGACGGCACGGCGGGCACCCCGCGAGGGCAGCACCACCGCGACGACGCCCCGCGGACCTCCGCCGACGTGCTGGCCGTCTTCGCCTCCTCCGGGGCGACGACGCGACGTCGCGGCGGCAGGACGGCACGGCGGGCACCCCGCGAGGGCAGCACCACCGCGACGACGCCCTCGCGGCCCTCGCGGCCCGGCCCAGCGCGGACGGCGCGGACCGAGGAGGGGGACGCGGGGGGGCGGCCAGTGACCTATCTGGCTCGGCGCGGTACGGCAAGCCACGGCAAGCGGCGGACGGCAAGGCGGGCTGGGCTGTTCACTTGTAATGAACGCTTCCGCGTGTTGAGTCATTTCTGTCAACAGCATCGCCTCGGCCACAATGGCGAGCCGGCTGGCGGCGGAGGAGCGGAGAGCCTCGAGCGGCTAGCGGCGGCGGCCGGCCTCCCGAGCGCCTGCGAACCGCCGGGTAGGCAACCACGCGACGCAGCCGTGCTCGGCAGGCCGGCGCGTTGCCTACGCCGCAGGCGCTCGCTCCGCTGCACAGTGGGCCGGAAGACCGGAGGAGGCGGCCGAAATCCCGGAAGCGTTTTGAGCTCCAGAGTCGCTAAATGGGACTCGAAACCGAACGTGTGACCCCACCAATGGATTGCTCTCCGAACTAGGAATCCATTGGTGGGATCACACGCTCGGTTCGAGTCCTGCTAAGCGACTCTGCAGCTCAAAACGCATCCAGCGTATTGGCCGCCTCCACCGGTCTTCTGGTCTGGCCCACTGTGCGCTGGGCCTCCTCTCCACAAGGGCTCCGCCAGGGCTGCGCGGTGCGAATGTCCGGACGGCCTGTGCGTGGCCCTGCAGGGCGACCCTGCGACCCTGCGGTGGGGCCCTGGCCCTGCCTCTGTCGCGCCGCTGGGTCTGGCCATGTGTCTAATTCGGACGTCCATCGAGACGGCCGTCTCGGCCACGCCGGCAGACGGCACAGCGTGGCACCGCGTGGCACACACAATCTGCCCTTGTAATACTTTCGCGACGGATGAGCTGCTTATCAACGGAATGAAATGGGCCTTGCTGCAGCGCCTACACTGCCCACGCTCATAATAACGGCGCGGGGGAAAAGGAACAACCAAAATGGGGAGAGTGAGGAGATGGGCTGCCGGGCGCAGCTGTGCGCCGCGGTGCAGTGCAGCTCCATGCGCGTGGTGGAGCCCAGCGGGGAGGGGGGGGGATCGCCGCGGAGAACATCGCCGCCACTGGCAAGGCATAGCAAGGCATAGCGAGGCATGGCAAGGCAGGCCGAGGGGCTGCAGTGCAGTGCCGCCGATTCAATTGAATGTAATGTCGGAGCCCCCTGCTTCCCCCCCCCCTCCCCCTTTGTGGCGTCGGGGCAGCGTCCACCTGGACGACGCGGTGCACGCCGTGGAGGCGGAGTGGGGCCGGGCGGGGCGGCGTGGCGGGCGGGGCTCGGCCAGCCGGCCAGTCTTGCGCTCGGCCGATCGGCTTGGCTTGTCAAGGGTCAGCGACCTGCACCCAACTTGGCATCGTGATTACGCGTCGCTGCGGCACGCCCTGACGCACCCCACCCCGCCGCGCCCCGCCCCGCCCCGCCCCGCCCCGCCCCGCCCCGCCCCGCCCCGCCGCGCCCCGCCGTGCGAACCGGACCGGACGAGGCGGCACGGCGGCACGCCACACGACCGGGCGCACTTGACCCTGGCGTTGGCGTGCGTGTGGTGTGTGGTCGCGTACAGTGTCTAGTGTGTCGTCTACGTGTTGTCGTCGGCCGGGCTGGCCGGCCGGGCCGCGCGCTGTACCAGTGTACCTGACTGCAGTCCGAACGTCGCTGGCCGGTCGGCGGACGGTGTCGCAACGCGGTGGCCGGCCAGCCCATTGTGGGGCCTTAGCCGGCCTTAGCGCACGTAAATGGGTCGGCGCGTCAAAACGACGCCGCGGCGCCTCGTCGAAGGGGGCGGCCGAGGGGGCGGCCGAGGGGGCGGCCGAGGGGGCGGCCGAGGGGGCGGAGGGGCGGCGCGCGGAGAAAGTGGCGTGGCGCGCGCAGTGCGCATCCGCAGGCTTGCCTCATACGCGATTTTTAATAAAAGCCAATCGAAAGTAGTTTTCTCTGTTTTCAAAATTGGGACTCAATTCCGAATTATTACTTTTTTGGGCAGCGTTCAATTTGAACTAGACCACCGTTGTCTGCAGAGGGCGTCGAAGGGGTTGTTGTGCTGGGTGATTCCGAGCACTGCTTTCGTCGCTCTGTCTCTCTCGCACCTGTACGGGGCGCCCCATGAGTGCGAGAGAGACGGAGCGACAGCAGCAGTACTCGGAGTGAGCGTGCTGGACGACCACGGCGTGGACGAGGCCCTGCGCGAGCGGCGCGCGGCGCGGAGTCGAGGCGCACGGCCACGCTCGGCGTGCGGCGGGCCCAGGAAGTCCGCAGTCCCTGCCGGCCGCCTCCGGCCGCCTCAAGTCCCAAGGACGCCGTGCGCTCCAAGTGCTCTCCAGCGGCGTGCTCGGTGCGCCCAGGGCACGTGCGCAGTGCGCAGGACGCAGTCCAGACGGCGCCCCCGTCGGTCCTCCCAATCACATTGCGACCTCTCGACAAAACAAGATGAAAATAGGCAAAAAAAAAAAGTTCCGTTACGTCGCGCGCGTTTATTATGAACTTGCGAAAGATGTTGGCACGGCCCAGCGAAAAGGAGCCAGCCCGGGGGAAAAAAAGTGAAAGTGATTTTCACGTTGATGAGCTAAACAGATGTTTGTTTTCGTCTTTTTTCGTCAACGAGTCGAAACCGTGCGGCGTCGTAGGCTCTCGCCTGGATAACGCGTTGAATCGGAGCGACGCGTGTACGTGGGGCTTCCCCGCGATGCGAAGCACAGTCGTTAGATTGGTCTCTGGCGCCCCGCCGCCGCGCCCCTCCTTGAACGAGGACTTGATTGAGGCGATCTGCATTGCAGATGCCTCGCAGATATAAACAAGCGGCAACCGGACGGCCGAATGGTGTGAGAGTCGTTAGAAGCAAAAACACCCGCCGCTAAATCAGGGGATTATCTCGAGGCGTCCGAAATACCGCCGAAATTTGCATCCAGAACAGGCCTTTCTTTTCCCCTGTTGTCGCCTCTCTAATTGTCGTGGACTGGGAGGGGGAAGGGGGGCGGCCACATGTGCCGACACGCCGCGCGACACGCCGCGCGACACGCGGGGGAAGGGAATGGTGTTGTCTTGGCACCGGTCTCTGTTTTTGTTTCTCTTCGTTCGTCCCCCTGGTACTGGTCCCGGTCCGCATGCGCGCGCCGCGACGCCCCCGCAGCAGCCCAGCGCGCGCACCGTGCCCTGCAGACTGATTCCGAGAGTCGTTTTCGTCGCTCTGTCTCCCTCGCACTCCTGGGGCGTGCCGTATAGGAGGTCCAAGAGGGACAGAGCGACGAAAACGACTCTCGGAATGAGTCTGCTGGCCGTGCCCTGGCCGTGCATCATTGTTATACGTACCTCGCGGCCTCCTTGATGGCGGCGCCGTCAATTTGGCGTTGGTTTTATCGGTTCCGCCTGGGCCTGCCTGGGCTGCCTCGGCCTTGGGCGTGGCGAGCGTGGCGCGGCGAGGCGCCCGGTCCCTGAACCTGACCAGGGGGACGCTCACCCGCCCGCGCTTCACACCGCTACGCTTCTCACCGGCCCGCCGATCATTCAAAGTCCCCAATCGGGGCGCCCGCTGGCGGCTTTTGCGCGTTGTGGCCGTCGTGGTGGTCACGGTGGTCGTGGTCGTCGTGGTCATCGTGGTCGTCGCAGACGTTGCGGTCGTCGTGGTCATCGTGGTCGTCGCAGACGTTGCGGTCGTCGTGGTCATCGTGGTCGTCGCAAACGTTGCGGTCGTCGTGGTCGTCGTCCGGGTCCCGGGCGTTGTCACTGATCATTCATTAATCATGTCGACGCCGGCGGCCGGCCGTTTCCGGGCGCGCTGCTCGCGCTGCTCTGGACGGCGATGACGGCGACCCGCTGTGCGTTCTTCTGTTCGTCCCGTCGGTCGGGTATTGATTATTGTTGAGTCGTCGAGGCGCCCGGAAGCGTCGTCGGCAGCGGACTGATTCCGAGAGTCCTTTTCGTCGCTCTGTCTCTCTCGCTCTTATGATGCGTCGCATGTCGGTGCGGGAGAGGCAGAGCGACGAAAACGACTCTCGGAATGAGTCTGCAGTCGGGCCGGCCGGAGGATGCTGGACCAGACAGGCCGCGCCCGGCCGCCGCCAATCAGAATCGGCGCCGCCGACTCGCAGTCTCGGACGCGCCGCCGAG